AGAAATTGTACAAGTAGAGCCATGGCTTACGGGAACAGAGCTGTGGTACAGTACGAAACGTATCAAATGTCGAGCATGGAAGGTTTATGAATGCAACACTAATTTAAACAAAAATATTACATATGTAAATGCCGCGATAAATACTGAAATGGAAGTAAAGTTAGTCGAACTACATAAAATTAGCAATACTATCGGTTCAAAACAACTTATATAAAACAATTTCGTTAAGCAGTTATGAGTGACCCAGATATGACAAATTTCCAAGTGGACCAGCGGTCAAATTTTATATCTTTGATTTTACTGGATGCCCTAGAGGATGGAAACGAAAGGTAGCAACTGAGAATAAATATTATTACACATTACATTACTTTTTTAAATACAACATTTATGTACATATGTATGAATTAAAATTTTTAGTGATATATACGCCATAATAGCTAAAAATAAGGTAGATGCGAGTTATGTTCCTATCGAACGCGGTATATCACCCCTTCATTATGCATGTGGAATGGATAACGCGGCAGTAGCTGTGGACATTATAAAAATATTTCTTGAAGGCGGTGGTAAGTTAAAAATACTGTTCACTTTGCTTTAAATTCATGCATGTAATTTTTTTTGTGAACCTAAGCTGACGCCAATGTCCGGTCAAACGAAAATATGACACCATTGCATGTTGCTGCGATATTTGGCCGTGTAGATATAGTCGTTTTACTTTTGGTAGGTAATAACTGTAATAAAATTACTATAAGCGAAGTTAACGTGAATAAAATTTAGAAATATGGTGCTCGACATGATTTACTGGACGATGAACGGAAAACACCAATACATTACGCTATCGAAGAATGCCATTTTGATGTATTGGAAGTAATCAGAGACCATATTTTTCAACATAAATATGAACTTGAGCGTAAAAGATCCATAGAATACGTTTCTGATAATGGCAATTATTCTACCAGAGGAGAATCAAATAAACAAAAAGAAAAAGGTTCCAATGTGACACCTGTTAACCGAATGTTTTCTAATGTTCGTAATAATGACTCAGGAAACCCTGATACACCAAACAATAAATACACACCGAACCGTGTACACTACAATTATGATGTGACATCTCCGTATTATATAAATATAACTCATCGTCGACACCGACCACAACCAGTATTTCCACCTATTAGATCTCCACCAAACTCTAAAAATAAATCAAATGACTTTGAATGTGAGAATTTATCAGTGCCAGACCCGAATACTAAGGTAATCCTATACCTATATAACGTAAAGTTAATTTCATTTAAGTCAATTTGATAATAATTTTATGTACAGGAAGATCAAGAAAAGGAATCTACTGACACGCAATCTTCTGTTAATGTATTTCACCTCACTGAGAAAAATTTGAAAGAACTTTCTAAGACATCTAATTTAGATCGTTCCTGTCATTCAATGATCGAAGCATGGCGAAAGAAAGTTGAGTCATCACGCGCTAAAAGGTCTATTTTGAGGTGTTACTCAGATGTAGATGAAATGGTAAACGAAGTAATGAAAAGTGATCACCTGAACTTCACTAACACTATTTTACAAGAAAATGCGAAAACAGTTTCTGAAGACAACGAATCTGAAACCAATCCGATTATGATCCCAAATCTCTCTTTGGGTGCTATAATACAAAAAGCTGCCCAGGCCCATGTATTAGATCAAGAAGAACAAGGACCAGACCCAGATAGTAGTTATCATACAGTGCCCCCAATAATTGACAACGAATTCAGAGGAAGTATTAAGAAACAACCTTCGAGAAACTCTCCAAAGCTATATTTAAAAGAAAAATCTGACAAAAATCCATCAGGGGATTATATATTACAAATGGCGGAAGCTTACGTTCACACCGATGATGAGAATGGGCTAGTCTTTTACGAAACTAAACTTCTAAGTAGTCAGAAGAGTGCAACTAATTGGTACTAAAATAAATCTTTAACAAATATGTGTTTTAAATGTTTATATAATATTTAAATTGATTTTTAAGTGAACAACAAAATTTGGACAGTACTGTATCGACTAATAATACACACATTTTGGATTACGAAACTGATGAACTACGTGCTGAACTGGCTCAGTTTGGCGATCCTCCTGGTAACTAATGCATATATTATTATGAGGTATTTATGTATACGGACAATGCTTAAACTAAAACATATTTTTAAAGGTCCAATAACAAGGAGTACAAAAAGACTTTACATAAAAAGACTTATAAAATACAAAAGAAATGCCCCAGATCTCCAACAGATAAATACAAATGGAAAACAAAACGCCCCAGAAAGTGCAAGTATGTTCTTTTTGAACATATATTAATATTCTATATCTGTTGTTAATTTTTTTCGATTGAATTAGAATTGTCTGTAGAATTGCAACGAACTATACGTTCTGCGGAACATTTTGCCCTAATACCAGAGTATCACAAGTATGAATGTAAATCGACTGAATACTTTGCTAATTTACAAAATAAACATAAAATGAGAGAAGGTCATCTTAAGCAAAGTTTTATATATATGCTAATCGATCCGCGTATTTCTTGTAATTTACCCGGAGAAAGCCTGGTACGTTTTCTAATCAACGGAGTATTCTATAAATAATTAAATATTTTTCTCGTACACAGTATATAGAGAGGCATAAAGCGTGGGTGCGATTCCTTGAATCAGTGTTCTATGTTGGAAAAGGAAAAACTTCTCGCCCGTACTCACATTTATATGAAGCTATGAAGTTACATTCCCGAGTTCATAGTCACCAGAAGATTACTAATTCCAGAACAGATATAGTACAGTCCCAGCGAGGGAAAACTTCATGTAAATCATAATCAATTGGATATGTATTGTATAATATATAAATATGTTTTTATAGCTATAAGGAAACAGACGCTTTGTCTAGACGTTTTTAAAGCAAATGTTCAAACGCCTTTGGATAACAAGAAGTTGGAACGGATTCTGGATATTTGGAGGTGCGGTAAAGGGGTGGTGTGCCTTCACGTTTTTCACAATATATTGCCTTCAGAAGCTTACACTCGCGAGGCAGCTATAATTGATGCCTTTGGAATACAGCATTTAACCAATCACAAGCGTGGGGACTACTACGGCCCAGCGCAGACTTGGACCATGAAGGAGAAAAAAATGTTTGGAATATCTTTATTATATAAAGCAATGCAAATTTATTTAGCAGAAGGTGAATCACAGCTATCTCCTAGCGATCTCATTTAAAATAAGATACAAAATGTATGTTTATATAAAGTAAGCCAATGTGATATTTTTGTATATACGAAAGAATATAATGACGTGCATTGTACAAATCTTTATTCAATAGATTTTATTTCCGATTACAGAAACTTTTAGTTTAAGAAAAAGCAAAGATATGTGATAAGGATCCACAAAATATTTACTTTTTCTGACTTTTCTTCTCGTTTTCTTCTTTTTCTTGCTTAATAGCTTCAACGTGTTTTTTTACTTCTTCCGCGGAAAGTGTAACCAATTTTGGTGCATCACCAGGTTTTTCTGCTTTTTTCATTACAACAATTTCTAAATTCCCGCTGGACTGTGCTACCTCACGAAGCGCCTTTATCGTGAGCCTCACTGCCGAGTCTTCTTCTGCAACACTTTCCTCTTTGTAGTGCTTTTCTAAGTACTCGCGAACGGTTTTTGCAGCACGACCAACGGCATTGGCTTTCCATTCATAGTAATTTCCAGAAGGTTCAGTCTGGTAAAGGTGTGGTTCACCATTACTGTCGAATCCAGCGATCAAACACGATATTCCAAAGGGTCGTCTACCATTGCTCTGTGTGTATTTTTGTTTTAATTGAGCAATGTACCTAGTAAGTTATAATTTAAGACCAATGTAAATTCTGTCCGATATTTCTATATTTAATTCAACCTTACCGTGTTATATATTCCAAGGTGACAGGATCTTCAACATTCAATTTGTGACTTTGACATTCGACTCTAGCTCGATTAATAAGAATACGAGCATCAGCAGTTAAACCGGCAAATGCAATGATTACATGTTCATCCAATGTACAAATTTTCTGAACTGTCCGATCTAATTGCAAAGTAGGCATTGATTTTTTTTCTACACCCAACACAACCACATCTTTTCCTCGAACTCCAACCTGAAAATTTTATTAATAAGCTGTAGTATTTAGTTGAGATTGAAGAGGATAATTATGGACAAGGGAGGTTAAGGTCACTTACAGCAGAAGATCCTCGACGCACTGCTTCCTGTGCATATTCCACTTGTAACAAATGACCATCTGGGGAGAAGATAGTTACAGCGCGATCATAACGTGCAGACATTTTGCTGTAATATTTATATTTCACAAATTCTGACAAAAACTAATCTACAATGAATTGCGGCAATAATTACAATAAATGAAAAAGTGTTTGTCAGCTTCATGAAAGAGCACTGCCAGACTTAGATGGAGTTCAATTAAAGTTGCCAGACTAAGATTCTCCTAGGAATATAACAAACTTCACACAGAGATGGCACTCAAATTAAAATAATTAATTTGAAAAATTTAGTATACCTTTATATGAAGGAATATGATTGATTTAAGTTGAGGAGATCACTTTAAAAAATTTATAATCTCCCGGTTAGTTAGATGAGTGGGTTGAATTATATGACTTCTATTATTCCAAGAGCTGATACCGAATAGATTTTTTGATATTTGAGGCATATACAATGAAATAGCATCTTATATTTGTTTTCGTGCATTATTTCTTAAGTTATTTTCTCTGAAATCAGTACTGGTGCCATATCAACAACAGCATTATGTGACTAACTTAGAAATGTCTCAAAATAAACTCGTAATAAATACAAAGTTTTCCACGTCACTTATATTTGTAATTTAATTGAGTCTAATCGAGAGCTGGCAGTCCGTTTTTTGATACTTCTTTTGAGACGTCATTTATCAGTTTCCTTTCTATTTATGTCGTCATTGTCCGATTCTCAGATGGTTTTGACAGTATTTTGTGAACAACGTCAACGACGACGAAAAAAAGTTTTGTTTTCCTTTTATTTTATGCAAAAGAATCAAATAAAAATTTTGTGTTGTATTTTTATAATTGGAAAGCATCCATGGACGAATGTTGCGTGATTTGAAACGAAAATAGAAAATTGCGTAAAAGTAACGGCTGTGACGGTGACAACGACGTCGGGTGCATGAAAAATTCTTGAGCTAAAAATTGAGATTTGTAGAATTCGTAAACGGTAACAATGATGACGGCAGCGACAACTTAGTCGACGAATGAAAGATAGCAAGAAAACCAAGCATAACAATAGAAGAAAAACTTCTGCTTTAAAACTCAGAAATTCTTTATTCTTAGGATAAAGTAAATATATTTGATTTATAAATTTGACAGTACAACGGAGTACATTGAATATATAGAGGTGGCTAAAAGTTATGGCATTGGCTAGAAAATTGACCGCTAAAATATGTAAGTTTCAACCTTTGCAAACTTTATTCCTTGTGCGAAGGAACATTGTTTTTTAAATCTTTTCAATGGAACTCATGTCTCAAACTTTCCCTGTAGATGAGATAAAAGCTCATGACGGAAATGTTACCAGTCTAGACCTTGGAGAAACTGGCAGTGTTTTAGTAACTGGAGGGCAGGACCGAAATGTAAATTTATGGGCAATCGGTCGGGAAGAACTTTTCATGGTAAGTTATATGGTATATGTGAACTACTGTCACAAATACTTATGTTGTCATTCCAGTCCTTAACAGGACATAACAGACCCATTGATTGTGTACGTTTTGCATATAATGACGATTTCGTGTACTCGGCGGACGATATTGGTATTATTAGGCGATGGGACTTAAACGCACAAACCATTTGTTCGACTTTGAATGGTCATATGAAAAGTGTACGAACTCTAGATTTTAATCCTTCTGGTGAATATGTGGTATCGGGCAGCAATGATACTACCGTCAGGTAAGCCTAAGAATCTAATAATAATGTTAAGTTAGATGAGTGATGTTGACAATAACTTACACATCTGTGTGTTGATGATTTTGCATACATATGCATTTATTATCCACATACATATGTGAATATCGAAGTAGAAACTTAATTCAGATACATACAAACATATGTTCAAAAAAAAAAAAAAAACAAAGACAAAGAATTTTACCCTTTTCGACTTTGTTTTGTTAGATTTTGTATTTTAAACTCGAATCGCATTTCAATGAACTTTTGAGCTCAAACCCAAGCATTTCAATAGGTCGTGATTTGCGTAGGAGGTTTTCTTCTTTGTCAGCTTTGGTTTTAACAATCGTACATATTGACATTATTTCCCTTCGTTCGTATTGAGTTATTTAAATTTTAGTTCGAAATCGGAATTTCAAGTTAATATTCAATGAAACTGCATCAAATATAAGTTAATAAATGAAATGAGTTTTATATCTGTTTGTTGGGTTGTATAAAATTATTATACGATTAAATGYTTACACTTGTTTAAAAAAGTTATAACTTTATGAGAACCCTAAATGTGTTTTAACCTGTAATATTCATAAGTTAGTTTGCTGAATTGTATTCATATTTGAAATAACTAGAAACCCACACGCCAATGCTACTTCCATATCTTATAAAAGCGTACATGTAGCTTGGCTGCTGTCAATGCTAACCTACATACATATAAACATCTACATTCATACATGGTATTAAAATTTTTGTAAATAAAAAATTTGAAGCAAGGTTTTTTTTATTGATGTTCAACGAATAATAGGCATGCATATTTGCGTAYTTACATACATACAATTTTCATTCCGGTATTTTTTACAAGCTTCGTATTAGTAGTTTCGCTGGTATTTTATTGCTTATAACTTAATAGCTCAACATGTACGCTTTTATAATAATTAGAAAATTGAGTCCAACTGGTTTACAAACGATGAAGATGGAATTAAAGAAACTTTTCTATTTAACTTGTAAGGAGAATACGAACTTATGCTTGTACAGAAAATTATATATATATTGACGAAAGTATGTACATATGCATATGACATTTAAAAAAAGGCGATAAAGCCTGCTGCAAATTTGTAAATCAAAATTGGTTGATATTCTTGAATTTGTCGAAAAAGAAATTTTCCAGTCACCTTTAAAGAGCTGTTAATAGTTTTGCAATAACAGTACAAAAGCTCTTTGTTGTTTTGGTTGAAATAAGATTTCGTTTGTTTTGTTTTCGTAGGCTTGCCGCTTTTAAGTAAAACGATCCACATACTATACATATATTCTGATCATTTTGAAAGTAAATTTTTTCAATTCAACAGATTCCTGGCTAGAATAAAACAGCAATCCTGTAATATTTAACAAAATAATTTTATTTAAGCAATAAGAAAATACCCCTTTAAAAACCATAAAATATTATTGTGCTTTTAATCAACTGAATATGTGGTTTTTTGAAACTTCACAATTTGGCCGCAATATCCTTCAGATCTACATATCCCCCAATAATTGCCTTCGTTCCAGTTTCCACGACGGTGGTAGTAAAGAGAACACGTTTGCCCTCCTTCCACATGTCAATCTTAAGTGTTTGACCTGGTATGACAGGGGCCGAGAATCTTAACTTTACAGCTTTAAAAAGTGAYACATTATTATTAGCGTACTGTGCCAAAACCGCGCGTACTGAAAAACCCAATGARCATAGACCATGTAAAATTGGTGTCTTAAATCCGCCTAAAGCTGCGAAATCAGGGTCAATATGTAAGGGATTCAAATCACCAGACAGTCTGTACAAAGCGGCTTGGTCCTCTGATGTTTTGTATAGACATGTGGCGTCTGGGCTTCGATTTGGTGGGTTCACAATTGGTATAACGCCTTTGATCGGTGTCTTTTTTCCCCCAAAATTTCCAGCTCCAACTATGAAAGTGGAACTTTGATTTTTAATTAAAAGTCGGCCACTTTCATCATATGTGTCAGTATTCGTAACAACAAGTGCGCCAGAGCCCTTGTCCATAACATCAAATACTTTTCCGATAGTGGTAAGGGTTCCGCTTGTTGGAATATCGTCACATATTTCCAAATATTGTTCCCCATGTAGAATATTCGATAGATGAGCCTTTCCTGAAGGTAATGCACTGCCGACAATATCAGTGGTCATGCATAACATGAGACCTGGCAAAACAAAATATGATGGGATAGCCGAGAATTCGGGATGATTTTCATATAGAAATTTTAGATCGTTTTCATTTTTGACACTGGCACCGATACCCAATGCGTAAAGAATCAAATCTTTGTTACTATATTTAAAAGTATCTTCGTATTCTCCATATTTGCCTTCTTTTAACTTTTCCAGAACTTCTAGTAAAGAGCCAGAAGCCTGCCCAATGGTGTCCAAAAGTTTGGCGTCTGTCATGTCAGTGATCTTTGCCCATACGCTTTTCACGTATTCTGGCGTAGTATTAGTTTGATCAATAGATGTGCGCAATACACAACCCTTGCCACGTACAATATTTAGTTTTGTAGCCCAACCCGCAGCACTCTCAATATAGGATCCTAAAATAATGAAACTACAAAATTTTGCACTTTATATTATGTTCTAAGTCGCTTACCGTTATCTTTGCAAGATTCGTGACACAAGTATACCACAACAGGTGCAATCAGGTGTGGTTTCAGCTCATTGAAAAGTATGTCTGGAAGGACGTCTTCAGTCATGCGACTAGCCGCAGTCGGAATGATAACATTGCAATGTATATTATTTTTCTGGCCCTCAATGGCAACTGTGTTGGCCAAGCCCASCAGTCCCATTTTCGCTGCTGAATAGTTGGCTTGACCAAAATTACCATAAATTCCCGAATTTGATGAAGTCATAATGATCCGCCCATAATTTTGTTTTCGCATATACGGCCAAGCGGCTTGCGTACATTTGAAACTGCCTTTTAAATGGACTGCATTTACCAAATCCCAATCTTGATCGGAAGTCTTGGCAATGCTGCGATCGCGAAGAATACCCGCATTATTCACTAGTACATCGACACGTCCAAAATTGTTGATAGCTGTTTCTATGACCTTTGAACCGTCAACAACTGAATTGTAATCAGCAACCGCAGTGCCTCCTTGTGCACGAATCTCTTCAACTACAATATCTGCGGCTCGTTTGGATGCTCCATCGCCGTGGAAACTACCACCTAAATCATTTACCACAACCTTCGCCCCTCGAGATCCAAAGAGCAGTGCATATTCACGACCAAGCCCAGAACCGGCACCCGTAACAACGGCAACTCGACCATCAAAGCGCAAATTCTCGGCCATTTTACTCATCACTACCGCTTTTAGGTACTGTAAGTCGCACTTGCCACTGGTAAACTGAAGCTGATTTCCACAACTGTGAAATTAAATTAACAATGCAAATCTGATTAGTTTCATTTTGCAAAACAAAGTCCACCTCTCTTGAGTGTGTGCATAATGATAAGAAACATCCGATAAATAAAACTACCTTTTTTATTACATATACATACTATATTAAGACACATTCGTATGTTGGAGGCTTCTACTGTGTGGAACAAAGTTCGAATCACTTTTAACTCACCTAAGTAAAGTTCTGAAATATTTTAGTCTGCATATACGTTAACCATGCACCATATTTTTTGATAATTACTTAATTTTTTTAGTAAACGTCATCGAATTCTGAAATCACGGCGAGTAAAAAAACTTACAGAACATGTATTTATCCAAAAACCTTTGTCAGAGAACGCACGCTCTCTGCCTTTGTTCATACAGAGAACGTATATTTATAGAGAAGGTCCAACAACGGACAGGCGTGTAAACTGTCAAAAGCTAACAAAATGCGATGAGTGYATTTCACCACAGCTAGCTAAGAAGGAGAAATCTTAACAGTGGAGCGTGAACAGAGCTGAGCATTCAATAAAAATTATGCTCAGAAATATACATTTCTATTGCAGACGTATGTTAGCCCTTTGAATATATTTTTATACGTTTACATGCAATCATATTAACTGATATGATTATAATTTTGCGTATTTCTATGAATRTATGCATAATTTATATAAATATACGTTCTCTGGTTCATATACATTCTCAATTCCGTCTAATGACATCAGTTTGGATTTTGTTTTATTTCTTATGGTTTGTGTCTTTGCTTAAATTCCCGCAACATACTGCACACAATTTTAAAGGCTAATTCACATAGAACTTTTTATTTTACATATTAGTGGCATCACCACTCTACCTCATCTCTCTATTTTCCATTCTACTGTCAACTCTACTGTCGTCCTACTGTCGTTGGCAAATATAGGATAAAATTGAAGTTAGCGAGAACGACAACTGTCGGCCTGCAGCGTGTAGTCGTGCAGCTGTCAAAATAGGTCCGTCCWTAMGAACGTGTRTATTTTAATATTTGACAGATGTCGTTTGCAGTCTGTCGCGAGCATTGTATTCCACACATTAGACTTATGTTTTGACAGAAAAGTTGAAAGTACGCTCCTATAGGACGTGTTTTTGTGTTCACATAACATTTTTTTGACGCGAAGCCCAGCAAAATATTGGATAACTCTCGCAACAATCGCCATTTTTAATATAGAGAAACCTGGGAGACCAGCGTACATTGTAGCACAACTTTATTTTCTACGTTTCGTTTTAGTATTTAGTGTCACGTAAAGCGTGGAAAGTTGTATGTGAATGGGCCTTAATATGTTTATCTGAGAAAAAAAAAATTATAATAATATTTTTTTATTTTTTTTTATTTTATAAAAGCTTACATAATAATACAATTATTATACAAACTAAGAAAATACGCAGCACTAGCATCATGGGCTATTATAATAATAATAATAACGAATACAATTAGATAATATACAATATAATTACACTTTATCATTGTGTATTCTCTGGATATATTCACCCAATGAAAGAATTCAATTATGCATTTACTTAGTTTTGCAAACATATCTTACAAATTAACATATGTATATATATCATATACTGCATAAAGACAACACGAAGTTTGAAATCCTTATATTGAGTATATGGGGTCAAGGGGTAGTCCTATCCGAAAAATAAATTTTCCGAATTTCAATAAATATCTCACACATTGATCGATACTTTCGGTAAAAAGTTGGTCATATACACTTTGGTCCAAATTTTCGGTATTTGGTGGCTCGTTTTTGACGAATTTTAGACTTTAAATATATATATTATCTATTTCACATCGTAAGAAAATAATTTCGGGATAATGTTATCTGTCGAATTTAGTTAGCAGTCACCATAAATTCGAGTCGTGACAAATCATTATCATTTACAATGTATAACTCTCATCTATCTCGATTAGTTTTAGTTGTTACAAACAACAGTTTCATGATACAGGGTGTGTGTATTAGGTACATAATATTCACATGATAAGACGGGTTTTGGTACTCAAAATAACGTCGATTAACTACTCCTAGCTCAAATATACATAATATAATTGTCTATAAAAAAAAAAAAAAATTATTCTTTGCAGGTTGTGGGACGTTAGAAATCAAAATAGATGCATTAAAATTTATCGGGGCCATATCGCTCAGGTTAACTCGGTAAAGTTTTCACCAGATGGGTTGTGGATTGCATCTGCTGGCACAGAAGGATCCATAATCATCTGGGATATACGAAAAAGTAAACAAATTATGGAGTTTAGTGAGCACCCTCCAGCAGCTGCCATTACTTGCATCCAGTTCCATCCGTTTGAGTTCCTATTAGCAGTTGGCCGCGTTGACGGTACCATTAGCATATATGATTTGGAAAGTCAATCGCGTATATCTCAAACAGAAACAGAAAGTCAATTTTATGGTCATCCAATAAAGTGCATAACGTTCAGGTTAGAGAGTTGTGTTATAAGATTTTACAGACCTAATAGCATATGCCTTTTTTGTTTTAGTGAGAATGGAGAATGTCTCTTTGTGGGCACAGCAGCAGGTATTTCTGTGATCGGTTGGGAACCAGACCGCGAATTTGATCACATAATATCAACATGGACAGCGTTAGGCGATATGAAGGTGGTTAATCGAAAGTTGGTATGTCGATTTTGTCAATTTGCTGAATATTATCTTCTGTAAATATTACGTATACTTCTTAGATTTGTGGTTCATATGAACAAAGTCTTGTTTCCATCAATGCACTTAGCATTGATCGCGTCTTTCCATTTTACAATCCACCCAATTCAACGCCCACCGCTTTCAGTCATAACTCTACTACACGCAAGAGCTTCTCGCGTGGTAGCCAGAAGTTAAGACTGTCAATCACTGGCCCAAAAGCATCGCGACTTGTAGAAGAGAATGAAGATAACAGAAGTCCCAGTATTGATGGCCATTCGTCCCCAAATTTAAGTCTTGAGTTGGTTGACGAGTCCTTGCTGGATACCACATCTCCTCCTCCACCACCAGCGCCTACTATATCGTCATTAAATGGCATGAATACTAATATTGTCAATAGTAACTCCCTGCATTTTGACTCTTCATATAGAGGAATGACATCTATGACGCATAAGTCCAACACATCTCCTCCATATAATTTTCCGTCAATGGCATCCAGCACCGGGTACAGTTCATTCGGTGGCAACGGTCACTGCTCGTTAAATTTCGATGGACCCAGCTCGTTAAAAATGCCCGGAGAGCGTGATATTTATCTCCACATGCCATTGGGGAACTCATTTGCAAATGACATTGAATATAATTTAAATGAAAGTAATCCGCCCATAATATCGAACTATGACCACACAGAGCTGGTCGAAGACTTTCCGGTGAACCAAAACATTCATCAACAGCCAAATGGACCAAATTCAGTGAGTTCAACTACCGCGTCAATGGGGCTGGCCCAAGCGATTCCGGCGTTTAAGGGTCCGAAATCGAAAGCAACAACCAGCGCACAAAAACGTAGCACGCAAATAGCAATATCAACAACTGGCAAATCACACATGAACTCCTCACACCAGCATCGTAGCAAGCTGTCGCAGGTGTCGTCGGTGAGTTCTACAGAGCTGCATAAATTAGATGACAATATGCCATTGAAGAAGTCATCTTCGTCGCATTACATAAACAAGACGAAGCGTGGAARCGAAACGCAWTCAAATCTCAACAAAGAGAACACAAAAAATAAGAATATAAGTGTGCAAATCTACGCAAAGCCGCCAACGCGCTCGCGCACCACACTGGATCTGCGCTCGCCACAACGTCAAGCTGTTTCTGCAGCGGTGGCTACTCAAAGGCAATCTAATGTAAGTTCAGTTCAAACGATCATTTATATCCGATTAACAACAACAATTATCTGTTRTAGAGATTTTCAAGTTACGTTGCAGATGGCAGCACAATCCCTAATGTAAGATTGTGTAAAGGCATTTGTGCAATATGTAAACAAATACCGTTAATGCTTAATTTTTGTAGATACCTGTCAACGCTCGGCCGGATCCAGTGTTACTAACGCAAGGGAACTTGAACCAGAAGAGTTTTGGCAACCATCAAAATATAGATGATAGTTTAGAGATACAAATATTGCTGGCGTCGCATGAACAAATYTTTCAAGAGCTAAGCAACAGAAATGCAACACTGCAGCTCATACGGAATTCTACAAGGTAACATATTWATTATTATATTGAATGTTCTTTACTTATGATTCTATTATATTTGGTATTATGAAGGTCTCACGACGTTATTGGTGCTTTGAAGCAAGCTATCAAGACAGGACGAACTGTGTTCGTCGATCTTTTAGGCGCTATAATGGAAAAAACGTGAGTGTAACCAAACATTGGACAATTAAGTAAAAATATTAATTAAATTGATACTATTTCTGTGCACATAGCTCGTCGTGGAACTTAGATTTGTGTCTTCTGTTACTACCGGAAATCTATGAACTGTTACAAAGCCCACACAAGTTGTAAGTACACTCTTGTTAAAATTAACAAATGAATTTCTGCTATGTTCATTCGAAATATCGTTTGTTGGTTAATTTTAGTCATTACACGCGCGGCTGTGACACGCTTCGAGTGATTCTTTCGAATTTCTTGCCGATTATACAAGACAATATTGATCCCTGGTCGAATAGTTTGGGAGTCGATGTTTCGCGAGAGGAGCGTCACCGCAAATGCATCGAGTGCCAGCACTGGTTGCTACAGATACGCAATTTGCCAGAAAGTAATCATTTCGGCAGCACTCTGTCCCAATTGCAAAACATGATTGTTAATATTTAATGGAACATTWTGGTCTACCGGTTCAACCTTACACGTTTCCACACATATGTTTTGTGTTGTTTATATTTCAGTTTACCAGTAGCCAATTCGGCTTCGTTCACTACATATATACATTTTATGTCCRCCTTTATTTTCATTAGTTATGGTGTCGAAATTGTTAATAATTTATTGTTAGGTTCGTAAAGAGTTAAATCACTGCATATGTCATGTAACATTTATGTTTCAAACTAGTACTAACAGTATTTTAAGTTGCACGTGTGTTTGCATTCTCAACATTTTGTTGACCGTTTTCTCATACGAATATAAAGTAACAACATATAACAAGAAAAACTGTTAGAAAACCAAGCTATCGCTATTGATTTGTTTTTATAATAAAATATTCTTGCATAACACTGCATATAATATAATATACAATAATAAGAAAACGCGTATCCACATACTTTGTAAAAAGTTCGAACACATACACATACATATACATATGTATATATACATAATTAATTAGCGGACGCAATTTCATTTAAACATGATCGTGAGAGAAGGGCTCACTAGTTATTAAGCGTGATCGTAAAAGTACTTACATTTTTAAAATAATATAAATATATTATAGATATCCATTCCCCCAAGCAAAAAACCTATGAATGAAAATTGAGAAACCAAATTTTTTCCCAAAACGAAAAAAAAAATACAAAATAATTAAAAACATTCCCCCAGTTATTAGAGAATGAAGGAAGTAACATAGCAATTATTTGAGCCATTGCAAGTTTCAATGCACGTATTTTCGTTAATTTAAATCCATTTCGTTATTGGAAAGTGCCTTTAGGAGGAGGAGCAGGAGGAAGCGCACTAGAACCCCGTCGGTAGGATGGCAGTAGAGACATACTTTTTGAAAGTAGAAACAATAGTGCGTTTAAGGCAAAAGTAAATATAAAACTCAGTCCAAAATAAAAGATGTACATATAATTGAGACTTTTTATGAACATCATATTTTTATACACGAAAGTGGCAGAACTGAAGATAGGTCCGCAATTTTAATGTAAAAATCATGATAATAATAGAAGCTAAGACAGCAATTTTTTACGATATTACGCAATAAGCAACAATTTTTGGTTACATGCGAGCCGAGTGACTTCCGAATAAAGGAGAAAGTTGCGATTAGAGCGTTTTGATTTGAAATTCGCTTTTGTTTTTTATAAACAAGTGTTTAAGGATGTAAATAATTGCATAAAAAGCAAGAATAATATATTGTATTTATAAGACGAAGAAATAATTATATTTATATCGTAAGAGTAATTCAACTTCCTTCCATTAATAATTCGGCAAAGCGGATTGAAACGTAAATTATGACAATGAACAAATATTTTGTACTCTAGTTGTAATTGGAGCACATCTGTAGCTGCACTCACTCTAAGTACATACACACAGTACGCAAAGGTTTATAAAATAAGCATCGAACTTTGAAATTATTTTTGTACGAACAGTAGATGGGATATATATATATGTACATATATAAAGCTAARACAGCAATTTTTTACGATATTATAAAGTAAAAAATCGTTAGGCTTTGCGCACGTTCATGATCACATATCACTAACTCTAACACCATTGCAACCAGTTTACCATTGCTGCAATCAGCACTACTCACTGGAGCGAAGCTCTTATGGAAACACATACATACATACATATATCCCTCACCACTCGCTGAACGCTATCATCATCCAATTGGTCGTCTAAGCTTAAATAAGAGATTTCCGCTCTCTACAGTCACTTTGAACGCATGTAGAAAGTAATACACATTCACCTAGAATATATAAGATTATTGCACCGTTACAGGAAACTATTTTATACAATTTATGACGAGCAATAGTAAGCTAATGAAGGCATGTTTTAAATATTAACTATTTTTTAACAAAGTTCAAACTTATCTAATCCGATTATTTATTACATAATAAGATGATTTGCATTTTCAATTCACCAGGCTTATACGTACACGAATGTATATGCATTTTTACTACCGATTTTTAAGCTTCGCGGTAAGCTCAACCGACATATTCGACCAACGGTTTTAGAATATAGACAAAATAAAAAGCGCACGTATTTGATYACGTAATCACCGATGGCGTCGTTTAATAACCTAGTATATTCACTATAAGTAAACTATTTATACTAAATGTATGTGATTAGTTATATTTTAAAAAGTCCACATAAACGTAGCCTTGTTTTAAGATTCACAACTGAATAATATACTAATTTTAAAACATTTCCTCAGTTAATTTATGTTTAAAAATAATTTAATGATTTTTATTAATTGAGACTTATCCATTGCAAGAAAATAAAAATAAAACAAATGTTTTGTATATCGCGAACTGTTTGAATTTACACTCTTGTGTAAATGTGTCTTTTTTACTTTCCGGTAAAAAGCCCTTATTTAACAAGTAAGGAAGACCTAATTCGGAAAAATGTGTTATATGGGAAGTAGGCGTGGCTGTCGGATCTCGAGATATGAGATTTMAATTAAAAGTGGGTTGTATCACGCCCATCTTCCAATTTTGACTACGATTCCTTTAAAAATCTCTCACATCTTCTGTGGCCTAAAATTTACTGTTTCTGGCGTATTTTGTTATTAATTTATCGAGTTTTTAGTAAATTTTATGTGTACCGTTATATGGGGAGTAAGTAGAGTTATCATGCAATATTATCCATTTCCACACTTTTGGTAGAAGTTATTGTAATATTTGAGCTAGGCGAATTTGGTTGTTATGGTTTTAGTGGTATAGGAGATATGTACATTAAATTTATTATAGGGCGGGGACCAGTTCCCTACGTACTTTTTTGCCAATAAACGCCTATACCAAGGATCATCAATATATCTCAATTTTTACTCAATTTACAGTTTGCTCGGACGGACCAACAGACACTCACCCGGATTTCAACTCGTCTCGTCATCCTGATCATTTATATGCACATTATCCTATATCTATCTCGATTAATTTTAGGCAATACTAAAACTTTTAGGTGAAAAAAATAGTATACTCTGCAGCAACCTCTTACAATAGTATGAAAACGTAAGATCACATAAACTGTACTCTAGTAATTACTTAGCTTTAAAGAAAAAATCGACCCGCTCTGACATAGTACATATATAAATATGTATGTACATTAGGGTGATTCAAAAACTTATTTTTTTTTCATTTGGTACTCTGAAAAATAGGCTCCTCGACACCTCTAAGGAAGCATCTCCAAGAATAAGTTCTTAATTGTAACGGGAAGGTCCTCCTACTTACAGTTTTCTATTTTTTCTTATTATCAGATAGAAAAATTTATATCTCGCTTCCAACCACATCAAAAAATATTTTGTTCCTTACATTTTGTAGGAAATTGAATGCTCAATTAAAAAGGTCCACCCAACCGTTTAACAGATATTAACGGTCTAAATTTGATTATTTTTGGGAAAAATTTTTATTTCTTATGAATTTTATAACTCAATGAAAAAAATCATTATGAATGAAACTGTCCCAAAAAATAAAGTGACATTTGAATTTAAACTGCGCGCGTCGAAGGATTTGGAGAATTAATTTCATGTCAAAATATTCATTAGTGTTTGAGATACGTGCCATTTTGTGAGCTGCTAAAAGTGAGTTTTTCGTTTTTTGCGATGTCGAAATTTGTTGAATAAAGAATTCGCATTCAATGATCATTTCKCCAAAAACTCAACCCATATCGTTCCGCAAYCACCGTATTCACCCGCCGTGCGACTTCTGGCTGTTCACCAAGCTCAAAAGACCGCTCCGGGGGTACCAATTTTATACGATATTCAAGTCGCAGCGAAGACTGAACTGAAGGCCATCCCGGAAAGTGACACTACAACTAGGGGTTCGAAGATTGRAAAATCCGTTGGCATATTGTACTACATCTAGTGGGGATTACTTTGARGGGGATGAAATTGATTTGGAAGAATAAATAAAGAATTTTGAAAATAAATACAATGTCACCTTATTTTTTGGGCACAGTAGTAAAACTGTGAGTAGGAGGACCTTCCCGTTACAATGAAGAACTCATTCTCATTTTTCAGAGTACCAAACGAATTTTTTTTTTTTTGAATCTCGCTAATGTACATACCTGTACATGCAAAGCCCTATATGAATAATAATGTAAATTTCCATGGATCATGGATCTTTTGGTGGGATAATTCAGAATTTTGTATACAACAACAATGCTGAGCAGATATAAAAAAGCGCAATAAAAATATAAAACACTGAAAAAGTACGTAGGCAATGCTATCTAATTACCGTTAACGATCCGAAATGGTCGCAGAGAAAAGTCTGAACCTACGAGCACATTGATATACAAAGGTAAATATGTATATTAGTGTGTGCATTGTAATTTAAATGAAGGTGAAAAGTGCTGTGATGACCTGGAAGTGCACAAGCACGGGTACACGGGTGCGCTGAGCTCTTTGGAAAGTGAAATATGCGCCAATTAACCTTTTTATTTACACTTCAAAATATGAGCAGAAGCAGAAGCAGCTCTTTTAATGAGCCATCATATCACCATAACAACCGCAGACATGGGAGACTGCCTCAATTGTCATCAGTCTCCGCAGTACGAAGCGCAACGTGAATGCGGCACGATATACCAATATTTGAGTCCGAGATTTGATAAACGTTTAGTGATTAAGAAGCGCAGCCACTCTTCGAGTTAACGGCAGCGTTTTACCTCATTTATAATTTTCAACCACCGTTATGGTTTCTAAAACAAGAATACTCGGAATATCGATAGTAGTTTTTGTTGTTTTCGTTGTTTACAAAATTCCTAAAACTGCGGCAAAATTAAGTATGGGAATGTTTTCCGGCGCGACCCCAGATCTTCTTCCCTTTGGCGTGGTTCAACAATTGCAGATGGAACAAAAAACTCACAACCATCGCCGAAACTCCTTGAAGAGTGTCAAAGGTCTTGCAGCAAAAAAGCCGTTTATGTTTCCTCCAATGCCGCATCAAGTTCCAATGTTTGGTCAAACCCGGAGGACGTCTATCAATTTTCATCGCCATAATTACAACAATCCAAAAAGTAGATCGTCAACTTTACGAAAGCAGTCACTTTTGGCGCTTTCCCAGCAGAATATCCAGTTATTTCACTTGTACGATGATGAAGGTGAGCACATGTTGGACTTAAAAGTAGACAAGACTCAACATCGTCCTTTTGCTGAACCTAAACGCTCGACGAATAGGCGAAAGACTGTTCTGTATCCCAAGCAATCAAGCGAAAGCTTCAAACGAATTCATCACTACTGGTTGTACATATGATGGTGCGCCACATAAGATCTCTTCTGGCATATTATTTCAAAATTAATATAAAAAAGGGTTTTAATTATTTATAAAATGTATTATGTATATTGAACTTAAATAGTTATGAAATTATAAATTAAAAATTCATTTAATTTTATGTCGATTTCTAATTTATCAATGACACTCTTAACCACATTGGGTTATGCTATATCTGAAAGACTGCCATCAGACTTGTAACCGCCTAATTTGTGTTCATAATCGTCAAACTCGGTTTTATCAAAGTTAAAGCCACCATAGTGGTGATAACCGTGACTATAATCCTCGCCTTGGTGTCCAATAAATTCGCCGTATGCACCAAATTGGTGGTGATCGGTGTTATCTCCATGATCAGTATGAGTGTTAAAAATATTAAATTCTCCTTTATTGTCTTCGTGATGGTCTGAATGATTTTCACCAAAATGAGTTGTATCTTGTTCGCCAACATCGTAATTGCTTTGACCGGCACTGATCCCACTGAAAACTCCGTACGCTCCGAGTGCATCATCTCCCTCCTCTCCTTGGATAGCTTTCGTTGTTTTGAACTCTAGTGGCCCTTTGAATTCTTCGATAGCCTCATGATGAATATGATCATGGGGACCAACATGGGGTTGGAATGTTCTAAAAGACTCAAGTCTCCCAGTTCCAACTTCTTCGTGAATAACTTTCCCCGTATGGTGCTTACGGCTATGCCCACTGAAGTGACTACTATCACCGGGAATACCATACCAACCAGCATCTTTACTTGCCAGAACACCGGCATCWTCTATAAATCTTGTATATTTGCCGTAATCGTCTTGACTATTCAAACCAATATCTTCACCAGATTGCCTTTCTTCCTGCATCACTTCGGTAATTGGTTTGCCACTTCCAAAGGCTCCACCGTAATCACCAATTGCGTCAGTGCTCTTATAGCCTGTGGTCAATGACATTTCTCCATCATCTTGGTTCACTTCATGCCAATTGTTTCCAACGAAATCGCCTTTAAAGTCGATTTCCTCATTGAGAGCACTCCCGGGGAGGGTGTATCCACTGTTGACTGAGGCCACAAACATACACAAGACATACGTAAAGACCTGAAATTTAACAGTATGCAAAATCAAATGGTCCTGAACGACGAGTTATTTTATGTAACAAACCTTCATATCGACAGGCCCTTGATCGGATTATATGTAATTTGGAGAGAAGTTGAAGAAGTGCGGCTGTGCGCAGAACTGCAAAAGGTTTTATACACCTTYCCTTTTATATAACTAAAATGGAACAAAGTTCGGAAGGCCACGAAATTTATTGATGCAATTCTCGCGCTCATAGGTACATACATACATAGATATGTACAATATCTGCATAGAAATCAAAGCCATTCATACAATGGTGTTTCGAAATCGTTTTGAATGCCCTTTATGAAAAGCCATCCCATTTATCGAGACACAAAAGTTAAACAACAATAAACCGGCGCGAGTATGCAAATATGCAGCGAATGGTGTTAATGGGAACCGCATATCGGTTAGCTCACATTATCTGTAACAATAGCTACAAAATTAATTTAGTTGTATGACAATAGACTCGTCTGCATTGATGTGCATTTATATTTATTTTTTATATAGATGCATTTGTATATAATTTGGAAATGTTCCACAAATGTGAGTCTCTTAAGGCTCAGTCGGTTCAAGTCGCCCAAACACCTGTCCGTGAAAAATATAACATTCCATACGTGGTAACATTTTTGACGCCTAAATGTAACTACCATCTACTTAACTCCAAATTCCCCTTACATACATATATACTAGGGTCTGCGGTCAAGTCGTATGTGATGTCTCTTAAGATTTAAAAAGACAAACACCAATGTTCAATTACGACTATTGCATTTATCGTAGTCTTCCCGGGTAATTTTTATTTATATGGAGTAAGAGATTTAACTGGTGCTTAGCGTCTGCATTTAATTCTTAAGTGGACTTATGTGCTCTAAATTGGATCGGATGGAGAATGCGGGGTGGAGTATCCTTCTAGCTTATCTACTTCATTACAAATATAATACAAATATGTAGAGGACAAAAAACTACGGCATACCAGATTTTTGTCCGAATTATGAGGGTTTGCTGTCGTTTCCATACAAAAATGTTCCATATACAAACAAACGCATAGTTTCTGGTCTAGATTGACCCCTATAATGGACGCGGACATTGAAATTGAAGTCTTTATGCGGCTCAATTATATGCTTCAGAGTTCACAGCCATGTGAATTGAATGYTTAATTTTGATGATGATAATTGGCCGCGTTGGTTCATTCATGCCCAAAGAGTCGTAAAAACTAGTTGGATTCTGGCAAGGGTTCCAAGGTTGATATTCTCTATGACAAAATTCTCTTCTTCTTCTTAATTATAATATACTTTATAAAGTTACTTTTGTTTAATTTTGGAAAAAAGAAAGTACTGCGAAATTTGTGTTTATACATATTAACTCTTTAATTTACTTTCCGATAGGAAAAGAAATATATACAAACAATTGGCATATGCAACGCTTAGTACAACGCTTATAAACTAGATAACTTAGTAAGTAAATAGTTAAACCTAAGACATTAATAGAACTGCTACAATCTTGGTGGCAGGTACTGATTTGAGGGAGGTACGTATCCGTTCGATGGCGGCACGTACTCGTTGGAAGGGGRCCCATATTGGTTGGATGGAGACCCATACTGACTTGGTGGAGGTCCATACTGATTTGATGGAGGCACGTATTCATTAACTGGGGGTAGGTATCCAGCGCCGGAGGCACCGCCGTTATTGCCACYTGCGGATGCTCCACTGCTGAAATGGCCTCCACCATTCGCATTTCCCCCTGAACCGCCATAACYACCATCTAATTCACCAATTAATTTGAGTGACTTTATCGTTTCAAATGAATCGTTTCCACCGACATTAGATCCAGCATGATCACCCCCAAAGCTGCCTCCGCCTACGTGTGCACCACTGGAATGACCTCCGATACCGGCTTGCTCATGAATTACTTTGATGGTTTTCACTTCAGCACCACCGTTTGCGCTTCCACCAAAAGCACCACCACCTACACCCCCGGCTYGCTCATGAATGACTTTGATAGTTTTGATCTCGCCGCCACCAACAGCACCTCCAGCTGCACTTCCATAATTATAACCCCCATCGGAACCACCGCTCACTGCTCCACTTTGCTCATGAATGACTTTAATGGTCTTCACTTCATCGTGACCCCCGCCAATAGCTCCGCCAACTCCATGGCCAYCTGAATGTCCCTGTTCATGAATAACTTTAATTGTTTTTACCACACCACCACCTGGTGCCCCCTCATCCAGTCCAGCATCATGACCACCAGTATGGGAACCMTGTCCGCTATTGCCATTGCTGTAGCCTCCATTGMCAGCATAACCATTTGAGAATCCATTRCCACCAGCTTGTTGGTGTATAACTTTGATGGTTCCAAAGCTGCCACCATGGCCCCCACCATGTCCATGACCATGACCACCGTTACCACCATGATGTCCTCCAACTGCTCYCCCCTGTTCATGGATAACTTTTATGGTTTTGACCTCTTCTCCACCTATCCCGTGGCCAGCAAAACCACCGTGATGCCCATGGCCCCCTTGACCGCCGTGACTCCCGTAGCTTCCACCGTATCCAGCGGCTTCTTCATGAATGATTTGAATAATTTTTATCTCTCCGCTAYCCCCTGAACCACCATAKCCACCGTGACCACCATGAACGCCGTGTCCACCGGGTCCACCACCATAAGCACCTCCACCACCGGAACTACCACCGAGAAAACCCGCCGAGCTTGATCCAATTAAAATGGCGAGCATACAAACAGATATCTGGGGGTAARGAGATTAATGGCTATTCTAAATATTTACATAAGGATAACAATCTTACCCTCATTTTGTATTTTCCTCGAATGTGGCTTTACTGAAAATACTGTTATGATGAGTCTTTAATGCAAACTAAACGATGAACTGATGCTTACAGAGGCGAGAGACAGTCATTTATACGAAAACAAAAGACACGCAACGCAAACTTCAGCTTTTGGCAGCGATGCCATCATGTGTTTGCCGYTATTGTAGCTTTCTTTATATGCGACGCCACAACCACACATACAAGTCGCACGCTATGGATGCGCAGACCGAATGCATTTGCAGTTTACCGTGCGACTAATCACAAAAGCGCTGGAATCAGTGAAAAACAACAAAAACAGTATATGCCGAACTATAATCAATGCAGTTGCCYAACAAAGGTTAATGTATGTRGTACTGGCAGTTTTAATAGGTCCGGAATGTATCGAAGATGTTTTCTTCGTTTCTATTCACTTATTCACTTTCGTTAGTTGATCATTTGGTTTTCGTTTATTGTGTCGACAGGTTCGTGTGGAGATGCGTATCTTCATATTCGGATTGGTAGTTGGCGTAGCTACACACTCATAATTAAAGTTAACTTGGCCACCTGTTAACATTGCAACACTGTTGGAAGCTGGTTCCCCGACAAAGAAATGCTCAGGGTCTCGACCGGCTGTCGACCTAAGCCCTTGCACAATTTGTAACAGTTAGCTCATTAAAAATGTATACTAGTAATATGCATGTACGTGGGGAACTAAATACTCTTTTTGATTCCATGAGGCGAGTTGCCTTACTAAGTAGACTACATATTTTCATTATACCAATAGATAGAAGTTATGAAGCTTGAAATAAGTATGCCTAATCTCCTTCAGATAGAAGTTAGATCAATGACATAGTAAATCTGCGAWTTTTATCCTAAATAGAGCCACAAAATACTTTATTGGCAAGCTTCAGCTACATGTTTTGAATTTMTGTTGAGAAATTTGCCAATACTTATTTATGTAGGCATCTCGTTTTATAAATACGAATCGTGATCAAAACGTGAGGCGAGACAAATTAAAGTATGAACAAAAGTTCGAAAGCTTGTGAAGACGTGGAAGCACATCAATTTCAAGTTCACGGCTCAGCCGTCTAGCTCAGCTGCCTTTATCATACGTTTTCTTTAGTCATTCGTTAACAGTATATGGGTTTTGCATATGCTTTGCTGTAATTATGTTTTTAATGAATTCAGCCAAAAAGCTTTCGTGCRTTAATTGATATGCACATATGTATGTATTTCTTCATTAAGTATTCATAAATGTTGAAAAAWTATCGTAACGATTATCGATCCCCAAACAAGCTTATTATGAAAGGGCCCCTCTATTGTAATCGATCTGAACGTCATTGGACGAAATATTGCGAACGCTGGGTTACCCATCGTGTTTCCTCCATCTATTTGCAATCCAATCAAATAAAGCAATTTCCTTTTTTGTTCAAATCTTGTTGGAAATACGGAAAGTGTGGCTACTTGGCATTAGGTACCAGGGTTCTGATGAACTAACAAAAAATCAAGCCACACCCTAGATTCCGAGCAGCAATGTGATAGATAGAAGAAAGCAGCTCGAAAGGTTTCAATTTAAAAWTTTTTATTATTTTGCTTTGGTTCACTACTTACATATTAAGTTTATGTGTGTAAATACAATAAATCTACAAAGATATGTGTGTCCACAAGAATACGTAGAAACGATTGATTATGATAACCCTAGATTGATTAGCTAAGCTCTAGCTCGTTGCATCACTTACGTTCCGGAACGTTAACCCAAACGCCACTTGTGCAATCATTCAGTACTAAATCTAATCAGAGTAACARTAAGGTCTAGAAATAAGTGTGTATCGTAACTGCTTAAATTTGAAAAATATATTGCGGTCCGCATCACAAAAACAATGGTTTCAATTATCGACCGAGTGACTTCACAATAGTTGTATGGGCACGTTGAGTAGTACTGTTTGAACATCTGTACTTATCTAATTTTATTTCAATTTCTTATACTAAAATATATTATATTTAATAATCCCACTTAGTCTAAATTGTTTACTTTTAAATACTGGTGTGAAACTAACTTTGGGCTGTAATCTAATATTTTCGCAATCCCATACATATGTAACTATAGTTATACATATGTAACTATATGATTCCCGAAGTTCTATTGTTGGGTTCCTTGGGTGTCCTTATAATAATTTTGTAAATGAATTATATTCCTGCTTGACTATATGCGAATATACAAATAGTGTGTGCGCGTTTAACTTAATCTAGAGTTATGTGTGGATTGGTATATGTGAAACCCATGAACGGCTTCTGGTCCATTGAATGCAGAATATCCTTTTCGATGGGGGTCAAGCGCACACGCTCCTTTGTGAAAACTCGATCAAAGTATTGAGTATCCAATGGGTGTTTCTAAAACGATTAAATGTCCGTTAATATGTGAAAGGACATGATATACACAATCGAATACTCACCACAAGGGGTTTGAAAGGTGGCGGTAATTGTCGTTTCTCTAGTAGATCCCAATCGATGGGTCTGAAGAATATGTGCTCGCTTATGTCGCCAGCGGGACTGTATTGAGATCCAATGCGTTTTGTGTAATCCTTTTCAAGAAGCTGTAATAAAAGATTTTTTAAACATCTTGCTGSGTGACTTTACTAGGTTGAAGACTTACTCCTTTCAGAATACCCGTAGCTTCTGCAGATATGTAAACAGGAAACCAAGGAATCTCATTGCAAATCGACCAGAATAATTCATCCTCATCGCAACCACTGAACGGCGATTGTCCAATCAACATTTCGTAGAGTAAGACACCAAAGGACCACCAATCCACGTTTTGATTGTACTTTTCGCCCTTTTCGGTTAGAAAAATTAACACATGTAATAATGAAAATAATTGTTTTTGTACCTTAATGATTTCGGGCGCCATATAATCGGGTGTACCGCAGAAGCTGTCAGCGGTCTTGTCGAGGTAGATTTGCAATTTGCACATTCCGAAGTCGGCAATGCGAACGTGACCTTCAAAGTCCAATAGCACGTTGTCCAACTTCAGATCTCTAAAGCCCACAGAAAAGTTATTACTATGCTATTCGCTGCAAAATACTTCAGTTAATAGAATGAGGAGTACCTATAAATGATTCCTTTTTTGTGCAGGAACTTCAAACCAGATATGATTTCGGCTCCGTAAAAACGTGCACGTTCTTCGGGAAACCGACCACTTTCCTGTATGTGAAACATTAGATCCCCACCATTAAGGTACTCCATTACAAAGAACAAGTGGCTCTGGAAAAACGCAAGAACATTTAGAACAGGAATTCACACTTGATTTGGAGCTACATAAATATTTGATCTTCGAATCAAGTAGTGGTAGTCGCTTCATAGCATTTAAATTTGGTCGGATAAATTCACAATTCTGTAATATTAATCTCCGGTCTACTTTAATTTTGAAATGCTGGGAGAGTTATAAAAAACGTATTGAGTGAGGCTATGAGTCGGATATGAGACAAGTATTTCTTTATAAAGCTGAATTTTCCTAATTAATGCAGCTTTATYAAGTAGCAGCAACTTCATGGCTACAAAACCATTACGACACCTTACGATGCTCGATCAATCGTGAAATGTGGCTGCGATAAGTGTGGCAATTTCTCCTCCGCGATGCACGCAATTAATGCCGACATTCACTTTAAACAAATGCCCTGATCCACATTTGAAAATTGACCATCGGTCGCGCTGTCTGCGACTACGCGTTCATTCGAATTCACCTAGTGATGGTCAAACAATGGGCTAAATTTATCATTTCACCTTTCCTCAATCGTTTAATTGATCTATTTGTGGTGGCTCAATTCGCCATGCAGGCGGGGGGAGTGGTGAGACATGCGGCATGCCGGCAGGTGTACGATGTACACCTAATATCTTGTCCACGTCGSGCCGCAGCTACAAATAATCGAAATTTCAACTGCATCAGGGTTGATGAGAAATACGAAAATGACAACAAACACAGCAGCATATTAATCTACGAACATTTTTAAGTGTGTGCCAAGCACTKGCAGATGAAAACTGATTTTTGGAAAACCGCTTGTTACACAGGGCAAAACATTAACATAGAGACATCTGCCGTTAGCCCCTCTTATGCCCGCCTAGAGCCTCAATATGCTGCTGCACACAACGGAATACACCAAAAATCTAACATTCTATGAATAGATAAATGCTCGATGCCAAAGTAAAATGAATGTACTTGTATATATGTATATAGTACATATGTAAATCGAAATGTAAAAAAAAAAATTATTTGTATGTGAATCGAGAAAATTGAATTGATTCAGGAACACTCTAAAACATGTGCAATTGAAAAACAAATAAAAATAGATTTTAGCATATCTGTACTATACCTATGTATATATATKTACATATATAGTATGTGCAGGAATATGTGGTAAGTATGTGTCAAAACGCACATGAATATCGTGAATTTCAATTAAAATAATAAAAATAATAAAAATCGAAAACCTTCATCGTGTTCGATTATTTTCGTCTACACGATTGCTTCCTATTTACCTCCGTTTGAAATGTGCAAAACAGGTGACACAGATACGGATGTTTGGTGCCCAATGCCAGCACTTTGCGTTCGATTAAGGTTGAATCGACATCGTCATCCTCGAGAACGACATCTTTCTTCAAACACTTGACGGCGTAGTAGTAAGTGGTGTCGCGCAGCTCAGCCAGCAGCACCTGAAATTTACAATGCGAAACGAGGGTTACTTGAGTTTTGTGGAGGCATTATTTYGTTGATTACCTTGCCGAAACTGCCTTTGCCCAGCACAGCTAGGAAGTGGAAATCATCTACCGAATAGTTTTTGAACCGTGGTATAACGGTAGCTGGCGCCGTGAAACGCCCCGACTTTTGAAATTGGGAATATGTGTACGACGTTTCTGCAAATAAACTCCAGCGGTCAATAGAATCAATCAATATTTGGATCTTCCTCCTCCGATGCCTCATTAGAGGGGATCGATAGTGACTTCCGTTGAATAAATTAARGAGGAGCACATGACAACTCCAATGTCTGCGCTTTAGTGGTTACTTCGATGGCAAAGTATTAGTAACACAAAATTAGCTTTATCTGGTAACTATGCCCATACATATGTACAAGTATACAGTTACATACATACACATTGCT